CAGCATGTGTGATACAAAATCACGAAAAGTCAACACCGTCTTACAACGCTAAAACGTAAATACGACCCCCCCTCCTCCCAACAGTGACCAAGTACGACACCTCCCGCCGAGCGCTGGTTTCGCCGAAGCGCCGCGGTTCGGCGAAACGCCCGTCGATTCGTATCAAAACCCTTTCGCCCAACCGCCGGACTCTTCGCCCAACCGCCAATCGATACGTATCAAAAGCTTTTCGCCGAAGCGTTTCTTTCGAGGGAAACACAGGTTCGGAGACCGTGAACAATACCTAGGCCTGGGCTTGTATCGATATCTAATGAGGCCTTTGTCGCAAGTCTAGTTGATCCTGGGCTTTCAAGATGCTTGGAGACTACTTTCAGGAATGTATTTTGCCTACGTGGCCATTCCGAATGGAAATAGTATCGCTTTGCAGCGGATCATTTTGTTCGCATGGCCCTACAGAAATGCTCCTCCGAGGGAATTAACGCCTGGAAGCTCTTTCAGTAACTGCAACAATAGGGTGCTAATCACTTACGTCCAACGCCCTCTTGTAGTCGCCGGATCTGAAGAAGCAGTGTCCCAACCAAAGATCAGTTGTTTCATTTTTCTCACCATTCTTCTGCTTGAACTGAAACAAAACCGGTGATGTATCTTACCCAGTAGCGCATTTTCGCGAATAAGTGCGCCGAAAATTTGCCGTCGAGCACATTTTAGCTAATGAATAGCATTCGCGAGTTGTCCATGGTGAACATTACCCACAGATCACCAAGGAAACACGAAGCTGGAGGTTTACCTAACGACTTCATTGTTCATGCAGTGACAACGCAGTTCACGCGGACGAACGCCTTTCATTTCGGCGGGCTGGCCTCATGGGGTCAGCGCAGCTTCCGCTCAAATCTCCAGCGCGAACGATACACTTACTGCTTTTCAACTGAACGTCTGCTTTCGCTTACCTCTAGTAACGAGATCGCTGCCGAGTAATCCTTTTTGATCAGGAACTCTTCAAGATCAGGAATCTGTTGTCGAACTTGTGGACGTGGGGCGGGTGCTTGTTTCTTCTTCGCTGGTCGAAGTCGTGAGAGTAGCTGAATAGCACATTTTCATTCATGCCATCTATCAGTGTTCAACAGCATTATAATCAATTATTTATTGGTTATTGTTTCTTTACAGAGCGTTGAAGTACCCCATCTTCATAACACTACTAGCAACTTCTTTTTATCCTCCAGCGTCACAGCAAACAAGGGGTTTAATTCACTTCGCGCCTCCACAGGCCAGATCACGATCTTTGGACACAAATCGGATTTTAGACCTAAGACAGCGGCTATTTATCCTCGCCACACGCCAGAACCGTTTAGATTCGAATCTCTATAGCGCCTGCTGCGAGAGTGAAGCGGCAAGCGACACAAAGATGGGCGAGGGAGGTCCACAACACCAATGCGCCTCGGTCGAGGTAGTTGCGGTTCGCTCAGCACGTTCCTTTTGCGCTGAGAGGTCCTTACTCGAGGTTTCATTGAGTACCCTAAACATGCGCAGAAAATTGACATCACTGCCGATATTCTGTGACGAGACTTTCGAGACGCAGTTTATATTACGAGGTTAAATTTCTGATGCTCTAAGGCTTGAGTAGAACAACGATATAACACGCAAAGACATCCATGTGGAAAGGCATGCCTGTATCCTGCTGCAAATTCTACTATGGAAGCACTACTCGCTAGGGTGAGATAAGAAATTCTCATGCCTGTCCTGTTTTTTACTCCCTTGTCGACTTACAGACCCGAAAAAACTTAGAACAAGCCATGTCACGCCTTTTGTGTTTGTTTTACCTACAATTTTTATCATGTACCTGACTAACTGTTCATGAAGTCCGCCCAGAAAAGCCATTCTAAAAAGTGGAGTTGTTGATTAAATTCGTAGGTGGGACAGAATTCCGAAGACTACTGCTGGGAGGCACCCCGCTGCCACTTACACTCCTTATCCCTTAGAAAGAGTAGGCGTGGCTTTCGGACATGTCATAAAATAAGTTACTCGAGGGATCTTCAAACGTGAGGCAACTGTCATCTTACCCTTTCGATTGTCATCTCACAACCCTTGACATGCGGTACGGTGCGGCAGCTACTCCTACCGCATGTCAAGGGTTTCGCGTATGGATGCTGGATCGGTTTTCAAAGTTTCAATGCTTTGGGAAGAATATAAGTTTCTTGAGAAGTGGAAAAGAAGTAGAGGAAGAAAGCACAAACACCCAGACAGGTGTGTTCCTTCTTCTGGGTCAGGTGGGACTGAGACATGTCAGCTCACCATGCCCTTTCAGGGTTGGAAAAGGGTACATCAAAAAGCTCGAAGAATTAAGTTTTTATCTCCATGAATCACTTCCCAGAATGCTGCACGTATTTCACTCCCATTTAAGGTCGTGGTGGCTTTTGAATGTGAATTGGCCTACACAGACCGTTGCGGAGGGCTGCAAATGTAAAAGTCGAAGTTCCAATGTTCTTAGACGGGTCTAGTACTAACTCGCTTTCCATGTAGGCACGAAAGCTCGGTTGACCTGAGCAGTAGCCGGGATCTGAATCCCAGTCAACCTTGTGTACCACTTGCCACTACATTACCTCCACCTAACCAAATGTTTAACATTATTGTGTGACAACATTATATGCTTGGCTTCTGACCCTAAAGTGGTGTTTGAGAAGAGCATCAATAGCTTAAAAAAGATGAAAGTGCCAATTCAAAGCTTGCTCCAAGTTTTTTTTTGCGGCTGCGTGTCAAAATATAGCGTTCTGGCAGCATCTTCTTTTTGGAAATACAGTAACCTGAAGAGCCTTAGAATAAGGACAAAGATCCAATGGCTGGATTTGAGCGGATGTAACTATTTTGCCAAGGATAATCTCTACTCTACTGGGGATCATCCAAAGTAGCTTGGATTTCCACTTGCAGCAAAAATGCTTATTTGCTGCTGGATTTCCGGTTCTACGTGAGCAATTTGGTTTTTTTGAAGAGAACATTTGCGGAAATACCGTTATGTAAATCTCACCATCTTTCTACAGGAAAACTAATCGACCAGAGGAGACGCCATATGTAGAATTGAAGCGGCTGCTTGCCATGACAACGCACGCCAGTCATCAACAGTGGCGCTTACCGATTTGAGGCAATGTTTGCCAGCCTCCATCTTCACGCTGATCCTTTGCAGGATGGCTGGTTAAAAGCAAAATATAAGTAAAATTCTTGGAATAAAGTGATCCAGGGTCAGGATCGTGACTAGCGTACCAAATAGTATTGTAGACAACCCTTTTGGTGGCAAGTTTTTAACAGAATTTTATCATATTTTGCCGGAACTGTGCCAAAGAAGTCCGTCTCAAGTTTGGCTCTACAGTTTCCACAGTAAATGTTTGTTCTAATGGATGATTCCACTAGGTCTTAAGAAAAAAAATTATTCCCAGGTTGAAAAGTCGTAGTTGTGAACGTGACCAACTACATGCAAGTACCACCTATTCCACCTTTCGAGGCGATGAGGCTAATAATTTGAACGCAGTACCACCTCAATGTTTAATGTTTACTTTAGCGAACTTGGAAAGCCGTTTCTGCCCCCCCCCCCCCTCCCCCCCCCTCCCCCTCTGCTTGTTTAGCCACGCAAGCGCGCGGCCACCGCCACCTGCTATGAAGAATGGGTAACGGAGAAAATAGATTAGCCACTATTCCTGACAGTCGGAAATTCTCACAGCGGCATTCGAAACACACCAGTCTTTTTCACCCAGACAAAGGGAATTATCGGCGTATTTTCGATGCCCGTGCTGATGTTTCTCTTGTGCAAGATATACCCCCTCTCCACAATCACACGCCGCGCGGCGAGCGATGACTCATCCGGTCTTCGCTTCTTTGCCTCGTCGAGATAATGTTCAAAACAGCCCACAGATGGTTCCCGGCATACTTGAATAGTGAATCTAGCAGCATTTAGAACAACACAAACAAGGTTAATCGTGAATTTGTTGAGAAATCATAGAGAAGTGGAAAACAAATGGACTTCGATGTACAAGCTGAAGTGAATTGGTGAGGTGAAATTGTGATTCTATTGTGAGGAAACCGCTCAAGATTCAATTTCTGCGATTTGATAGTGAGCTATTGGAGTAGATTTCTCTTACATTCTGCGGACCATCCAATTTATTTAAACGTGTCACTTTTACGCAAACGAATGGGTTCACCTAGGCCGGAATTCATTCCCTTGCAGTTTAGGCAAGAGTCTTCCCGCCTACTATTGTTTCTTCGCACTTTTCAGCATTAACTGTTTTACCTTTTGAATATAGCACCTTAGGGCGGTGTTATATTCATGTCCTAAACATGAAATTACCTCTATTTTGCCGAGTAGGGAGCAGAAGAACAGATGAGTCATCGCTCGCCGCGCCGCGGTCTCCCCACAAATACGTTAGCACCGCACCGTTAGGCAGTGTTCACAGTCTGCGGTCCAGCGTTTCTCTGAACGCGGCGGTTCGGCGAAAAGCTTTCGATACATATCGACTGGCGGTTGGGCGAAGAGCCTGGCGGTTGGGCGAAAGGGTTTTGATACGAATCGACGGGCGTTTCGCCAAACCGCGACGTTTTTCGCCTTCGACGAAACGCTAGCTCGATCGCCGTGGCGTTTTTCGCCAGCGAAATCGATACACATCTATTGCTTTTCGCCCAACCGCCGAACCGCGGCGGTTCGGCGAAACTAGCGGTTGGCGATTCTCCGATCGATGACTATTTTTTGCTTTTCTCCCAACCGCCGTTTCGTCAGGGTCGCAGACTGTGAACAATGTCTTAACTAACTAATCCTTATAACAACAGCAATGCAGAACGACCGCTGCCCAGTCGAAAAGGAGACCCTGCGAGAACAAGTTAATAAAATCAGGCGTGAGACACTGTACTAGTGGGAACTCTGCAAATACACAATATGCGGAAACGGGACGCTCGAGCCCAGGAAACTGGCTCACTTCCATTCAATATATTGGTAACTTGTTGTCCTTGGAACATTACCGCTAAAGTTCTGGCTTTGCAATTAGTGATCGTAGTCTAACTGCTGGAAGACATAGATTCTGTTTCGTTTATTTTTTTGGATTGCTAGGAAGGATAATTCAGTGATGACATTAAGTTCTCAAGTCTTAACCTTGACTGCACCATTCGTTTGCATCTCAGTATATAACTGTGTTCCAGAATCAAAAGACATGTCGATTCCATTGAATCGTCTTCCTAAGTTATTATCGTGGCGTCTTTTTTCGGCGACACATTCAGCGACTTTGTTCACTTCATCATGCGCACCCGTGAGCTCACTATTGGTTCTCAGAAATCACGCTCCTCCTGGTAAATGTGGTGCGTTTCATTACTCATGCTTGAATTGTTCAACAAATTTTTTTCTTAAGTCAAAAAAGGTACCAGAACGCTTAAAACTTTGGACTAGAAATGGGTTAACTAGGCCACGTTCATAGCAGACGATCTTGAGGAATTAACGGTTTGAAGAAATGCAGAATTCAAGAATTGGCAGAAGGATTAGGCGCGTATTGTTCCGAAGAAAGCACCGTTGAAGAATGCATAAAAAGTAATAGGCGCGTATCGTTTATTTCTGCAGTTCTTTAATTCGTCAGTTTCAGTGTCGCAAGCTATGAACCTGACCTTACAGTTGTTTACAAGGTAGTTAAAATGGAATGGTTATGCTTCTGCCGGTCAAACATGTTTGGGTAGAAGTTGCGACTTTCGAATTATGTCCTCGCAAATTTCGCAAATCGAAGAAGTGTGAGCAACCCTTTAAATCTGACCGACCCTTCACTTCCCAGTCTAGCTTTGAACTTTTACGAGAAAGTTCCCTCAAATCACGATAGAATTGTGAATGGAGACCGGGGTGTTGCAGTAGAGTCTGGGTGCTTATCAGATATTACTATCCAAAAAACTCAAGACATCTTTTCTGTCAGACTTTGCTCATAAGGTGCCCTGAACACGAATATCGCATCAGTTTTCGGTGCTTGCACCGATTCGAGCCAATTTGGTCCCAACCACCTGTCCCACTGAATCCGGTATAAGCTTGCGTACTGGGGTTATTTAGTGTGCTGTCACGAGAGTGACATTCCTTTGGCATGAAACCGCTGACCGTCCGAGTTACACGCTACAGCGCTACGTGCCTGCTTTGACCCGACACATGTAGCGGCTACTACGGTTGTTTCGTGCCAATCGTTGTGCCAGAGCGGTTAGAGGAACAAGGCCAAAGGAGACAGTACTTTCTAGTTGCCTGCGATAAAGATCGTTCTTCCTGCTAGGGCTCACCTTAGCAAAGAAATGGGTGACTATCTCGGGAAACGATGCAGGCAAGCGCGGCAGGCTCTGCTGTCGTGTCCCCCACTTTCTTCCATCCTTCACTCCATTGGCATTCCATGCAGAAGCGGGCCCTATTTAACCATGACTACCATTACCTTTCAAAATGACTCCTTTTTACCGTTTCCTTTGAGTTCATACTTGGCTGAAAAAAATTTGTTTCAGATGGTAGTTCAACCTCTTAAGCACGCATATCACAACGGTCTGGAACGCTCTAGCACCCGCGCTAGCTTACTCCGAATCACCAAAATGGCCACGAATTTCCTCCGACGGATAGCTTGCCCCTCGTTATGAATACCACCCACTTACTTGAATACCACCCCGCCTGCGAAGTACCAGATCACCAGGCACGCCGAGAAGTTGTTGCCGGGGTAGTTTCACCTCCTGACCGAACATCACATCTAGGCACTATTCAACACAGATTTGGCTGAAAATTTGTTTAGGCTTAGTTCATCCTGAACACGACTATCGTATCCTCTTGGTCTGAAAGTGGCTGGCGTCACCGGCAAAATGCCCTCTGTTACCAGAATTGAAAACTTGTATGCGGGGTTATTTGACAACCTGATTATGTGCATGACATTAATTGTTGGCGCGGCGCTAATGGAAAATGCTACGATCATGCAAGCTCTGTTGTAGCTGCGCCTCGCCTGGGGAATCACTCCTTCTCCCAGGCACAGGCTTTGCAGAGCGCTAAATCGGGAAATGAATGCCATAATCGTGATCATGACATCAAACAACCCCATTCAAGTTTACACTGGTTTCGGTGAGAAAAGTGTCTGTGCCAAGTGGGCAGCGCCAAAAACGAATGTCACATTCGTGATCGTTAAATCGTTAATCGAGCACGTTAAATCCTTGTGGACAAAATTTCAGCGAAAATTTTTTTCGAATTTTAGGAGTAGTCATGTTTGAATAGTAGCAAACGCTCAGTGCCAATACTCGAAACATTTACACGGGACAGTTGTCTCAAACCATGTGTCTTTAATCAAATGTCAAATCGACGTGCCTGCGCGTGATGTTTACCTTGTAAGGGCTAGACATGAAATATAAATCAAGGACCCTAGCAACGCTTTGCGAACACCTGAACGCCTGATGTCTTCCAAGCGACAGCCTGTTCTAACTGCGCACAGCTGACCCAATCGTGGAATCTGCAGCTCAAGCTGATGAACACTATAAGCCGTTTTAGGCTCAACTGTTTTGCTGGATGACATCACCCTATGACCGTAGGGCTCAGGTTGAGGGCTTGCTTTCACTTATAGGGAAATATTCTATCGTTGGTCTTCCATGTATCTTACCACTCTGAGGGAAATAACCTTTGATGATACGCTTCATGAGCGAGATGTCTTTTTGGCCTCTTCCCTCTCAATTTTATAGTCTTTGTCGATTTTAATACATCAAAGTGGAGCGTTGTGTAGGCGTAAATGATGGTTCTCGACATTACCTATCTGCGCTAATCTAGGCGATAAACTTTCACAGGTAGCTAAAAACTGGTGTTTTGTATGGGCAAGCAATGTTGCCTTTTGAAACGGGTTGAAATTTATTAAGGCGATGCAGATATAGAATTTGACTTTATAAAAGAAATGCACCGCCCTCTATAGACAGCATGCCTGCAGCACTCATGCATGAAGTTTCCGAATTTGTCCCATGAAGTCAAGTAATACATAATGAAAATGCATTCCAATACTTCCAGCAGTTCCCCATTTTCTTGTCTTGGATCTTTGTTGAATGAGCTGCCAAGTGAACTCAAAAGGACATCGTTACGATTGTCTTGTCTTGTCTGCTAGGTCAAAAAGGTTGAAAATTGAATTTTTGACTTGTAGAATCCGCTGGCTATATGTTTAGTAACAACGGGTCTTCAGCTTCTCGGTTGAACAGGAGTAGAGAGAGCGTGGAAATTTGTAAAAACTTAATATGTGTAGTCGACTTGACACATCTTTTCTTGCCCTTAAATTTTGAAGGTATCAGACTTTCAGAAACGGTATGCATACCCCTTACAGAGCAAAATTTTATATCAAAATGTATAGAGGCGTTTTCAAGTCATCCATTTTTGGCCAATAGTTGGATTTGGCCAGAAAAAAAACACGATGGACTAATGAAATATCAGAAGTCATTCTTGGCTATAAAAGGCTCGGAAAGCAAGGTTCGAATCAACCACTTGTGTTGGGGGAGGCTGTTAGGCTTTCTTAGTTTTTTGTAGCGGTGTTGATTACCCACAGAAGTTCGTTTTGAATACTGTCACTATGGGTAATGTAATGAAACAAGGATGGTCTCAGTCACGTATTAAGTTTTTTTTTGAGCTATGTTTTTTCGTTTTCTCAGGTGGTCAGAAGAAGAAGAAAATGTTCTTCTTCAGTGGTGCGATGGATCAGAATCCGTGGTAGTGGCAATAAAGAAACTGATCGTGATGAAGGCGAAAAGCCCAGTCAAGAGAACGAGCAAACAGAAGAGTCAACCAGCACGGAAGAGAAGCCGGAAAAGCCCAAGGTGGACCCAGCTTTGCGTAAGATTTTCAAACTCACTATAGGTACACAACGAGTTTTGTTGAGTGTTACGTCCGTTCCTTCCTTCATTGAGAACTTCTACGAGAAGAAAGATAAAAGTGTAGGTGACGAAGATGGAGGTCAGGCGCAGCCATTTCGCTTTTACTGAACACTTCTAAGCTTCTAAGTGATTTTCAACGCTTGCAGACTAAAATGATATATTGTGTAGTCGATCGAGGTAGTTTTTTTGAACGTGAAACAGAGTGCGGTTTGGAAAGCAGCGCAGTTCAGGGGGCATTTTGCACTTTCACTATTTCACTAGCTTCGCTTTACAAGTATCACTCTGGTGAAATCTGTGAACCCTTTTACTGGAGCAAAGTCGTCGAGCCACTATGGTGAAACCTGCCAACTCTGGTTAGCTCTCTGGCTCTCTGAATGGGCAGACACCTCGATGGGAAGCAGCAAAAATCCCCCCCCTCCTACCACCCATCCTACAACTGCCCTTAAGAAGCTCCCCCAAGTAGCGCTCTGTCCGTTAGTCAGGAGTGGCCTGCGGTATCATGATCCACTGCGCTTTCTCCTTTTGCATTTCTACATTACTTCCTTGCTGACTGCAGTGCATAGTGCTGTTACTGATTCAGGATGCACTACCGTTTCCAAAAGTTCTGAAATTGAAACAACAATGATGATTCAGAGAAAGTGCTCAAAACTTATCGGCCGCATTCACTCTTTGCATTGCTGGAGAGTAGCGGAATCTATGAACCCGGATGGACTGGCGACTGGACAACGGAGGGGGAGGGTCTATTGATAGTGATGGCGATGAGGGGTTCTCCTAATCGATACGTACTATGCTATTTTCCGATTTTGCAGTTGGAGGATCCGATAAAGTCGATAGGTGCCCATTCTTTTCGCGGATTCTGCAATTCTCCTATTCTGCAGTAATGCATGTACGGAATCAGTTTGGCAGACTTGTTTTTCTCTACGTTCATACGGTTTCGTCAGTAGCCCTGTAAAGAGGTCGACTTTGTTCAGTAATACAAGCATTTGAGCGCTGACTGTAGAAAACACGGGAAAATTTCAAATCTATGGAGCAGGTGTCCAGCATCCAAAAAATTCAAGCCTTTCCCCGTTGACTTACTTACACTAATCATTCTGTCTATTCGTAACCAGTCAATGTCATTTCTGTTGATAACTGTGTACTTCTTTTCCACTATTGTTTTGATTATACTTGGTTTTAGTCCGGAAACTACGGATCTATGTGCTCATAGTCGGTGGATTGTCTTTTGTTATGTCTTTCATAGCTCTTTCACAAATGGCTACTGGTCAAGCCGAAACGGCAGGAGTACAAAGCGAATACTTGACAAGGTCTTTCCGCTTTCTGGTTTATACACATGTGGCTTATATGTCGTGCACTGGTTGATCATGAACCTTTTTTAGGCAAGGAATTGACATGGGTACCTTCTTAGCAAAGTACATCAGAGCCGGAGAGGTAAGAGAAGAAGTGTTAGAATTTCCTTAGTTGGAAAGCGTAGACTGGGATGCGTATTCTCATTAAGATCTTCAGGTGAGAAGAATAATATTCTGTCCCGATTATGCTCGGGCTGTGGCTTTCCTACATACTGGAGCTGTTATTGACGGCAGAAAGGTATGTATCCTTCATTTCTCGTGTAGCTTTTCTTATATTCAATCTTCAGTGGTTGATGGGATTTCAGAGGAATCTTTGTGAAGACGAGGAATATTCTGAAAAATCCATTGCAGGTTCACGAACCGGTTGTTGTAGTCGCCTATCCGCACAGCGCTCAACAGTTCTGGGCAGATGTGCGGAAAGAGGAAGAAGATATGGGAATTTCAGTATCAGACGGGGTCCCCATGGACATGTACAGAGGCATGACTGTCGTCAGGTGTGACTTTGTTGTTTTGAAAGGACATTGTTGCTTCCAAAATGTCCCGAATTGGTTTCGTTCCCTCTTCGCGTAGTCAGTTATGGAGCACATCATTTGCATAAAAAACCGTTTTGAGATCGAGATTCGACCGAAAGCGAAAAGTGAAATTGAAAAGCTGTCATGGACTGCGATGAGCTGTCATGAAAAGAATGAGATTGGGCTTCCATACAAGCGTAGTTTGGACGACATGCATGCACAAATTGAAGCAAGGATGCATATAGCTCCCTATTAGCTTTGGAGCCAAAAAAAGGAAGAGAGCTGGCTGATGGTCTCTCAGATGTGTTTTGCTCCTTCGAAGAATTTCTTTTTTTGTAGAACTATGAGATCAACTTTTCATAGGGCACTGTAAAATGTTGCTGTTTCAGAGCATGCGCTATTAATTGCCTCAATAGGATTTTAATTATTTTCTTACGCTTTTCGTGGTAATGTGAACAATTTTGAGCGCGCTTTTTTAGAAACTTTTGAGATGTCGACCACCTGCGTTTTGAGCTTCTGTTAGCGCTAGCGTATCGTTGGTGGTCTTAATCACAGCTCGCTGCAATGAGGAATCACCACCATTTCATCGAGTGTGACAGCCTTTTTTTTGCTGATAAGGACTCCTAATTATGTACCAGCGGTAGCTGCGTTCGAAATTGGCTCTGGTTTCATTCGCGTAAAAATATGGAAGGAAATTCATGTTTTTTCCATACCGAGTGCAATTTTGCCGTCATCGTGTTAGCCTAAACCGGGTATAGAAAGTAGTTTAAAGTTTGGTTTGGTTTTTCCTCAGAAAGCATTGCCGTTCCTAAAACGATCGAACTTTTCCATTGCAGGATGATCGAGTTGGCTGTTGGTGTGCTCATACTTGCCTGGTTAATTACACAATATGGCCGTTTAATTTCGCGGAGAATAATGGCCAACAGGCAGAAAAAAAGCGGTGGTGAACCTAAATGATTTCATGCCTTATTTTGTCGATGTTGATATTACCTCTGACCGTATCAATTTTATTCGCCAGTGGATATTTGAATTCCACAGGCGCTCAACATTCGAAGGCGTATATTACATTGGCTGAATACTTGAACGGCTTACGCGTTCATAGCTTGCGACCGTGAAGAAATGCACGGTCGCAAGCTATGAACGAGCGGAAACTGCAGAAGCGCGGAAAGTGCGGAATCTGCAGAAATGGCGGAAAGTGCGGAAAATCGATACGTATCGGTTGCTTTTCGTCATTTCTGCAGATTCCGCATTTCTGCATTTCTTCATTTCTGCATTTCTGCAGATTCCGCACTTCTGCAGTTTCGGCATTTCTGCATTTCTTCAAATCGATATGTATACAATGCTTTTCGTCATTTCTGCACTTTCCGCATTTCTTCATTTCTGCATTTATGCATTTCTTCATGGTCGCGAGCTATGAACTCGGCCTTACATATATCAAATTGGGAATGGTTTTCTGCAATAATAGTTCCGTAGCTTCAGTCATTCTCATAGACATGACTCCTTGGGCAGCCATAACTAAATAAGATCCAATTTAAATTTCTGGAAATTTCCAGCTGCTTCTGCTTATGTTGCCTCACGAATATAGCCTGAAAACTTCTGAGCGAGAAAGGAATACGTAGAGGCTGTCCGTTTGTGCGTGTTTATACCGGGGGGTAGAAGAACGATGGGAAATTTGAGTCCTCAGCTAATGCGAAGTGTGCCTTCTAGCCGATTCCCCTTTTAACAAGTTTCCATTGCTCAGTTGTTCCTTTGTTCCACAGTCTTTTCTTCGGTTCCGCCTCACGGCCTAGGAAGTAGTTAGCGAATGTGCATTTTCATCTCCAAGTCAACAGGCGAAGCATAAGTTGTGCCTTTTTTTCCCTAAGTAATTACTCGTAGGGCCGTGGAGTGGGGGTGCAATGTCAGCAACTTGATTTAATTATGGTTTTGATATTAAAACGGATAGGGGAAATTATGTACAATTAGAAGTGTTAGGGGGGGGGTCAATATAGCATCGATTCGCTTGGAAGGAATTTAAGTGCCTTGGATAAACGACAATCATTGTCGGGAACTTTTCGCAATTTGTATGTGTAATATGACTGAAAACGGTGTTTTGTCTTACTATTTTGTCAAATCTTTTAAAAAATCCAAGCACAGCCAGATGCTTTTTTGTATTCAAGTAACTTGTGTGGTTCAATAGTGTAGTAGTCTAGTGTAATAGTAGTAGTGTAGAGCAGTTTTTTTAGTACAAATAGTCGACATTTTCTACAATGGAAGTGATGAATACTTAGATGAGGAAGGTGCAAGGATCAACTGAATTCTAGTTCCGTACGGACTTGGGCTGCGTTCATACCTCGCGATGGGAGAATAATTGGATGCTCTGCCAAGAAAGTACAGGTATCGATCGGCGCCGGTGAGAGAGTAGGAGAGTAGCAGTCTGCTCAAGTAGGCGGCAAAAAAGTAGCAGCGTCTGCAACCGCACCACTGGGGTTGCTACTCTCGTACTTTGTCACAAGCGCCGATTGGTGCCTACACTTTTTTGGTGGCGCATTCTCCCGAAATGTCAATTCCGCGATTATACCAAAACTCCAAATCAATATCTACACTTTCGTGATAGCAACTTTCCTAATCTCCTATCCTCGTATTACCCGTCGTAGAGTATGTATGCAGCCTTAGACGGAAACTGAACTAGTTGAGGTATTCTTCCTTTATTTCGTCTTTTGAATTATGACAGTACCAGTGGCCATATGAAACAACGAGTAGTTTTTTTAATGTAGGAATCACAGCGAATTCATCGATTTGCTCGCTATTGGATAGGGTTTTGTTGTCAGTGATGTACATGTTAGTTGTTCGCTTAATATAGTGTAGGACGATCCTTTATTATTATGCACTTTTTGAATTGTTCTTTAGAAAATAGCTGTTTCCTATAAAGTGTTAGATTTGACGTGTTGAATTGCGTTTTCATCTGCGGGTAGCTGTCCGTTTATCGTTATCATGTGTAGCTTTGCAGTGGTTATCATTTGCTAACCGTTCGTTTTATTTCATTCGTGTTTCTGTTGAGTTCAGGCTACGTTTTCTTCGTATTTGAGGATTGTTACATCTTCACCGAGCTTGCCAATATGACAGACGTTATGCGTGATATGATCGCGCAGCTGATGGGACGTCAAAAAGAAGACGAAGATGGTGAGTTCCATGAGCCGATATATTAGAATTTTCACGGAAAAAACTTTATTTCAGTACAAATACCTATTCGTTCCAGGACCACACCGCGCAGACTCGACTTCCTACAAACCACCACACATCTAAAACAGTCTATGCACGTGAAGCCATATAACTAACTAGGAAATGCTGCCACATAACCACCACCAACACGAATTGTTCAAGACCACAAAACCGCAGATTACAGCGGCCTTCATACTTCACTGTAGCAACAAAACTTCCAAATCGAACAGCCCATAACAGCTGATTTTATTCGAAAGCTCAGAAAGCGAGAAGATCACTTTATGCATGATGTAAGGCTCCTCCTTGGACATTCATAACGATTAGTGAAATGATCATTCAACAAATCCACAAAACGTTGCAATCATTTTAAGAGCTTTAATGAGTTATTAACTGGAAAGAAATAGACGATACAAACGTGTAGATAGAACACACGAGATTGACCGCATCAAAAGACAAGCTTGGATAAAGTGAAGAAGGCAAAAGAGCCAGACAGAATTCAGCAGCAACGGTTTAAGTTTGTCGCATCACAGCTCATCTACGTTTTATTCTATTCGAATATCAGGTTCTTAACGTGCGGAGCGCGACAGGGGGCAAATTGACGCGCTTTATGTAGTTCCTCCGTAACGATTTCGACGTCCGTTACCCCGGGGGCCACACAATCGCCATCTGTGATAGCTATTTCATGAGCTTACAAGAGCTGACGGACACCGATGAGCAACTCTTGTCCAGCTTCACAAAAAATTTCACGGCCACACAGTGCTATCGACTTGCTCAATTCCTAAATTAGTGAGCGAGGAAAGTACACAGCAATGCTCCCAACCCACCCCAACTTGTCGCCAATACAGACATCTAGCTTATATTCTGAGCGCACAACGCATTGAGCGAACTGTAGTGCCAATACGGATAGAGCGGTAGCAGACATGGAAACGCTGGGCAACATGGGAAAAGTGGAGGAATCCATGAGGTTGTCGAAAACAGTTGAAGACCTTCGGGCTCGTAAGGCGGAACTAGAGGTGTGTTCCTAGTGGGGATTAACCAAAGCAAATATTTCGAATCGTCGTAAGGTCATGAAGAGATTTGTAGCTCAACGCACTCTCTGCGTGCAGTACATTCGTCATTTCTTTTCACAGCTTTTTCAGTTATGGAACTGTGTATAAGCATTCAGTGTCAAAGTTGAAAATTAATAAGAAACTTGCAAATGTCGTGCTGCGATTGCAGTTGAGATCGACCAGGATGACAGTGTAACGGAATACACGACTGCTTACTGTTTAGGAGTATTTCCTCTTTGTAGATACTGGCGTCTGTTAACAGCTGAGAGTTCAGGAGACATTTTGGTCTTGTGTAGAGTGTAGGATCATGTCTGCTTTTTCGGAAGCTGGGGTTTGAGCCCATATCCGTCATTTGAGAGCTGCAGGTGCACAGCTACCGCAGCGCGTCACTTCCTACGAGCAAATTGTTGGAAACGGAATGGGGGATAGTGATATCCTGGCGCCGTTTCCGGAGTCCGCACTGCCGCACTGCCAGCCGTTGCTTTGAGGAAATACTAGCTATTCAGTATTACGGGTAGTGGGATTAAATTATGAAGCAGTAGCCGATAGGTGACTTTCCGGTAGAGAAGGACGCAAAAAAATGCGAGACACCCTGAACAAAAGCCCGGACTTGCTATTCACTCGACACCCTGTGGCTTCTGTGCAAACCCTGGCTCACAAATCATCGTCCGGTAAACTCCACCTAATGCTTGAAAAGAACCAAAAGCAAGAATACGAAATAGCTGTCGAAATATGCATGAATTTTGGAGTACGGTAAACAGTGATCGACGAATGAGATGCATCAGTGCTGAATTTCAGTAGTGCTAAAACGCAGCTTGCAGTGTAATATAGACTGCTATTGCTAGCCTGCTTTTTGAAAAAGGTATCCAGGTAGAACAGAACAACTCGTGAGTTCGCAAATACGTCGACAAACTAAATTCTCTGTGACCGTATGACTCCGTATTGCTCCTACGACGGTAGTATGGAATGGTCCTACGACGCTGCGGGCAACGGAATACATAGACGTAATCCACCGTGTGAATTGGTTGTCTTGCATACTGAAAAGACCAGATACAGCATGGGTCACGCGTCTGTGGGCGCTCTGTCTCGCCCATTCAAGAGACCACTGAGCGAGTGCGGACCTGGATGCCGAAGACAGAGGCCGTTACGCGGTATTCTGTGTGCTCGCTGCGGGATTTTGGTATCGACACAAGTGTTGCAGCTTGAAGGCTTTAGTATCGTAAGAAACCTAGATCCAATACTTGCTGTTGAAGTGAAAAGCTCATCGGATGGATTTCCAAGAGAATTCAGGAAAATTCAATGGCTGCAGCATGTGCTTGAAGCAGAGTCATAGCCACAGAGAAAGGGGTAGGATATTGGAAGTTTGAAGAATAGAGGACATAATAGTAGCACGGTGGTAAAATCTTCTAAGGACTGCACTTTCCCCTGTCACTATAGTCAGCGAGTCTTGAGTCTCAGTTTTATTCAGTTTAGATTCGGCGGCCGTTCGCAATGATCACTTCCGCTTGCACCAGCCACCAAGTGCAAGGCTCGCACTGTTATTGGGTTTTTGAATGCAAAACCAGCAGCAATTGACAACAGTTCGAGGATTATGGTTCGTGGATGCAAAACACTGAACACATCTCGCTAGTGATGCAAGAAGTTTTCAACTGGTCACTCGAGAATTCAAGACAGGAGAAAGTCAAGGAAACATTCCAACGCCTCGTGAACATCATGGCTGCGTGCTGGTTCAATATAAGGCAACTAAAACTGTCACACCTGAAAGGATATATGGATCAGAATAGTAGTTACACCTCTAACTTACATGATTCGCCCATTTCTATAGCTGCTGACCTTGCTCGTCAACTTCTTCTTGTTTTCACTCTTGAGGCGTGGTTGTCCTTGTCCAATGGTAGGCCTCCTCGAGGTTTGGAGAAAGATGGCAGGCTGTCGTTCTTCCGGCGCTGTTCGAGTCTATCGTCCCTCACTTCTCCTCATTATGTGCCCAGCATAACAATTCTTCGCCTTTTCGATGCAGGTTGAGAGCTTTCTGATGTTCGATATAGCTCTAACTTCGAATTTGTGAAACTCAGGTTTCTTTGCGACACAGTGGTAACTACAGGGGGAGAGGCAAAAAATACACTTTTCTTCCTCGACTTTCAAGGCGATATAAGTTACACTTTATTGAATTCTGATTGGACATTTCCACCACCATATTCAACAGCACATTGTACACTATCATGATACTCCGCCACAGCCTTCTGGACGAGCGCCATCGAGAGATTCTGCCACGCGACCGGTGCCTGAGTTCAGCGAGATCGTTGATTTCTCCGCCACTGTAGACCACCCTGTTGAGCTCCGCTCGGACCCGGTAATCGAGGGGGTTTAGGTCAGGTGACACACTTAGATATTCCGTCTTCTTCAGGTACTCAACGCCCTTCCATTCCAAGTAGGCGAGAGTTTTTCCAACGCCCTTCGATTCCATGTGGTGGCACCCAATCCTGTAGCAGTACGAAGTTTCCAAGATGGTGCAGGCGACGACATGAAGGCAGGATATTCTCCTCGAGTTGGTCGATGTAACCGTCAGCGTTCACCTTTAGTCCGGGGTCCACGGAGAAAATATCGGTCTTCCCATTCCTAGGAACTCCGGTCCATACCATCAACCCGCGCCTTGGCGACTGCGGTGAAGATGATATCCTGGACCGTAGCGACGTTGTCGGAGCTGCTCGATGTTGGAGGTCTTCCAGATCAAGAGTGCTGGTCTCCAGGTAGCTATCCATGGGTGACTCCATACAAGAAGTTTCGCAGCTGTTTGGAGGTGACGTGAATTCCAAGGCCTTCTCCAGTCAGGCTGCGATTGGAGATGACTTCATATTTTGGTGTACATGAAGGTGATGGGCGAGAGCCTGCTCCTGCTTATCGAGGAACATCTTGGGTATCTTCCGCCCTGGTACTCGTATCCACGTCTTCTGTCTGGGCTGCGAAAACTTTGCTGATATGTGACTCGGTCGAAGTGTTTTTTTTGCCCCCTCCCGTACACAGTATGACGCTTGGCTGAAGCTCGTGTCGATCTTCATTGTGTTTCAGCGATTTCATTAGCTCGTAAGTTGTAAACGCGGCCTTAACGCTCCAAAACGATTGAGAGCAGAAGAACTTAGCCCATTGCTTAGTGTACATGCTGGCAGTGTTCAGCGCGCGACCACATGTGAATGCGCGTGCTGCACCGTGCGCATCACGCCCATTTCCATGTGGCCGTGTGCTGTACATTGTGCTGCATGCATTGGTACTTGACTGTTTTTCAGAACACTGAAGCAGCTTCAGCTCCGAAATAGTAGGTCAAAACGAAGGAGATTCCCTGTGTCAAAGCTACTATGCAGGTTCCTTAAACATGTCTTGTGAGAACAGATTCAAAGAGTGAGCATGTAGTGAGCATGGCAGCACCATGGCATGAGATGAGATCTACACCCATGTTGGTCTATTATACCTGAACACTGGGGCTGAAGCTGCCGATGAAGGTATATTTCACGATTGCAGACTATTGGCAAGGTAATGGAATTCAAAAATGATAGTCTGGCGGTAATTGACTGAATGGGAAAATGACCAAATCCTTTTTGCTGTTACTAGCGTTTCCACTGAATGACTTGATCAAAGATTTCAATTTACAGAGCCAAACAGAGTTCCGCCTTGCTGGGCCAGGCTCCAATGCGGCCCGGTTACGTGTCTGCGAAGACTGTGGTGCTCAGTTAAATATCATGGACCACGAGTCTCGCATCGCAGACCATTTTGGTGGCAAAATGCACCTTGGAATGGTAGAATGCCGTGAAAAATACGCTGAAATGAAGGTGAGTCAAATCGGTGAAATCAGTCGTTCAAATCGTGTCCAACCTCATATCAGTCAGACGGTGTCCAGAATCGGCTTATCCCAAAATCTTTTGTTTCCAACAAATGCACCATGAACCTGCTACTTCCATGTTTCGGATTCGTTTAGAAAGGGCTCCAATCAGTTTTTGAATTCGAGAAGCTGTCCTTCTACCAACCATTCCTTTATTCTGGTCAGTTTCCATTCTCCCAGGACTACTTGCTTGGGAACAGACTGGAATTTTCCTCTCACAAGGGAAGGATGGTAGGTCGAAGTGGCCATTTGAAATGAAATGTATACCGGCTGAAAGGTCTTCGGACGGGAATTACGAAACCGTCTTCCATATCTGCTGCGGACCTCCCAGAAAGAAGTTACGGAGCTTTTTAGGGGGAGACACTACGTATTGGCGGCGTAAGGCTGACGAGATCGTGGCAGCATGGCCGAGTGGATACGTTGCAGGGCTCACGGGTGCGTGGTCGAGGGTTTGGATCCTTGATGCGTGTGCTTTTTTGCATTGTTTCGAAAGTGGTCCCTGTGCACTTCAAAGCTATTTTGCATAACACTTGTCCTGATAATGTCGTGACGTAATGATTCTGAACTGATGGAGCCATTGCGAACGATTTCATGGAGATCACCTCCGGCTGAAAAGATTGTCATACGAGCCGAAAACTTCCAGCAGATACGAAAACACTTTGAGATAGACATAATTCAACATTATGTGAGTGGTGAATGAAGCTCTTGCCCATCGCGATCTCCAGCAGCATGATTGCCACATCAACGCCACTTCATATGGAAGCATTTTCCCACTATACTCATCTTCGTGCACAACTGGATTCGTTTTCCAGTCATGTCGTTTGGAGAATAAAGTCATTTGAAGGCAAAATCTTCTTTTGGAATGCACTTTTGTTGTGTATGCTTTTCAAATCAAAGAAAGAAGAAGACAACAGCCAGAAAGTGGGCACTATTGAACCCTACCCCAAATAACTCAAAAAAATTTTTTCGCTGAAACGTTGCCTATAGATGTAATTCAATGCGCTGATCACGAATATAACATCCGTTTCGAGCGCTGGCGTCATTTGGCGCCATTATGCGCCAATTTGGCGCCCACCACTTTTTTCACCAAAGTTGATGAAACTTGCATATGGGGGTCAATTGAGGTCCTGATTACGAATATCACACTGGTTTCAAGCGCTGGCGTCATCATGCGCCAATATAGCGCCGAATTGGCGCGTAATGGCACCAAATGGCGCCAGCGCCAAAAATAAATGCTGGATTCGTAATCAGGACCTCAATTAACCCCCATATGCAAGTTTTCATCGACTTTGGTGAAAAAAAGGTGGGCGCCAAATTGGCGCATAATGGCGCCAAATGACGCCAGCGCTCGAAACGGATGTTATATTCGTGATCAGCGCGTTGAATTTCATCTATAGGCAACGTTTCAGCGAAAAATTTTTTGAGTTTCTGGGGCAGGAATAGTTCAATAGTGCCCAGAAGGTGATCTCTATGGAATGGTTCGCAGTGGCTCCATCAGTTCAGAATCATTACGTCACGACATTATCACGGACAAGTGTTATGCAAAATAGCTTTGAAGTGCACAGGGACCACTTTCGAAAAAATGCAAAAGAGCACACGCATCAAGGATCCAAACCCTCGACCACGCATCCGTGAGCCCTACGACGTATCCACTCGGCCATGCTGCCACGATCGTCAGCCTTACGCCGCCAATACGTAGTGTTCCCACTAAAAGCTCCGTAACTTCTTTCTGGGAGGTCCGCAGCAGATATGGAAGACGGTTTCGTAATTCCCGTCCGAAGACCTTTCCAGCCGGTATACATTTCATTTCAAATGGCCACTTCTACCATCCTTCCCTTGTCAGAAAAATTGGTAGGAAACCCTTCATGATCTGACGCGGTTATCGTGCCTTCCAGCACATTTGAAAACCATAGAGACGTGATGTTTTTTGGCTGAGTTAGATATGCAATATATTCAAAAACTATGCTGCTGTGATACATACTTTTCTACTTAAGTAGTGAGCACGATAATTTGGTTTTCTGCACAAACGGTTGCAGAGCCGCTAAGTAGTACGACAGTAAAGCAGAAACGGGACGAAACAGTCGGAAGCCCCTGAATTAGTGCTTTCATTAACTGCTCCACTCAGGAATTGTACGAGTCTATGCCTGAGGTAATCATCGCTGGTAAAAGATAAATGTGAAAGAGTAATGGCGACTGCAAAAGGTGTACGAAATATTATTCCAAAAGTAGCAAACTTCACGGCCACATCAACTGGGGTCCTTAATGGGAACGGGGACATACAAGTAACATTCGGCTATCAAAAATTCAACGCAAATATTCGGCGGGGATCAACTAAAAAACCAAAAAGTAAAAGAAATGTTAAACTGCAAAACGTACACTGCTCGCTGAAAAACCTCGCTCTCTGCCGAAGAATGATATTTCCTTTTACCAGTATGAACTGAGGCTCCTCAGAAGGTACCCGAGAAAGGGAGAAAAGCGCCCCGCCGCACGTTGTGGCTAAAAACAGCTGATCCTATCAGGATTAATTGGTGCGGCGTGAAGGTGTTGGTGGGAGTGCGGGTATATCAAGCTTTGCTGGGATTCCCAGAAACCGCTTTCCATTGGAAAATACGCCATGCAGGTTGCTCAAGGGTGCGGCATCCTGTGGTAATTGGCGCATTTATCTTGCATGTCTAAGAGACTCATCATACGCTATGTCATTAGATGTTAGCCTTTTCGAGAAGACCAACCACGATCGTAATCGTCCAGTATTACTCGTCTGATAGCAGGGGTGTCTTCCAATTCACCAGTGATCGCCGCGCGCGGGGAGACGTGAAATGACGGCAGTACCTCACTTGGAGTCACACCCAGTCATGTGGTCAGCAGCATTACAGTATTTGGTGTTCACATTGGTTCAAAACTAACGTCTCTGTCATATGTTTGCTTAATTTTTATCTCACTCCATTTTGAAAAGGGAAATATTGGGTCATCTCATACAAAAACAGGGGAGGTTTTATTCATATAGAACGAAGAGGAGAAAATATAAAAAAGTAAAATTTTGGCTAGAACGAAGAGGAGAACAGATAAAAAAAGTCATATTTAGGCTTGGTCAAGTAGACCCTCTTTTAGCGATGACCCGTTCCCAGTGCCCGAAAGCGTTTAGGCCACTGCCGCCCTCGTTCCTTCAACAACTGCAAAAAAAATGCTTTTGATGCCAATTTTGGGATGTGACAAAACGTCCTAGCATTTGACGCTGGTCACTACTTTCGACCAGAACAGATGAAACTGCACGGCTCGTAGGGGGAATAGTTCGAATAAACTCAGCTCTCAGTATTGTTTGTCTCCCAGCTTTGCCCAATAACACCTTTATTGGAGAGCTGATGTGGTGGGCAATGGTGGCCTTCTTGTAGTTGCGTGGTATTCATTTGTCAAGCTGATTGTCGAGGAGCAGGCAATGTACACTGACAAGCCGGCAAGGATGCAGTACCCAGTCACATAAATCTCGGCACTATTTACCCTTTACTGCCCCAGTCATCCGAAATCAGGCCAGTTCCTGACCGACTTTTTTCTCCGTGGGCAGAATTTGCTGAAAACTTGGCTCCAGGGGTAGTTCGACCCGCTGAACACGAATATCGCATCCGCTTGACCCGAAACCTCCTGGCGCCCGCACCACGGGCACCGGCGCCAAAATACCCCAAATCATTGGCGCCTGTGGCGCGGGCGCCAGGAAGTTTCGGGCTGAGCGAATGTGATATTCGTATTCTGGAGGTCAAACTACCCCAGGAGACAACATTTGAGCAAAATCTGCCCACGGAGAAAAAAGTCGGTCAGGAACTGGCCTGATTTCGGATGACTGGGGCAGTAAAGGGTAAATAGTGCCATAATCTCTTGTGCATCCTCAAATTTTCGGACGTAACTCGCTCAACGGTTACAGCAGTAATGTAGTCTCGCGGGAAAGCTTGACAAGGGATCGTGGGGAACTCCCCGGCCACAGCTTTCTTTTTTAGCTTCTTTGGTCTTCTGAACCCAATGTTCCCCATTCCATTTCAAAAGGATGCACAACTACGGGTCCGGTACAGGATAAATTTAACAGCCGCTTCCATGTTATGAGCTCGATGCCATAATCCAACGGTGGTTTCAACCACCCGAGTTTCCTTCCGAATTCTCGAAAAATTGCTCCATGGCGGGGTTAACCAGAATAGATACGCAGCCGAAGGTACTGGCTTTCAAACACTGGTGTAGCCTGCGGTCCTATCCGCTTTGCTTCCCTGCCATTCCTCTATATGTCACCACTTTTTTTGAATGGAATGACCTATTATAATAGAATGGGTTTGAGCTCTTCTGGACACTGTCAGGTTGATTTGATGGTAAACAGTCTCGTTTCGTGTAACTGCTGTGTTAATCTCAACTAACACGATTGTACTAGTACCGTTTCGACAAACTACCTTTGTGTTAGGTTTATTGTCGAAATCTTCGATGGATCGCTCATCGTGGCCTTTTTAAGGTCGTATTACGTCGCGCCTAATTACGCGTTGTTGCCGTTGCATTTCACGCTTCTCGTGGGTTTCTATTTGAACACTCCTGTTAGCGATCCGATTAGGTAGTGTCGTTTGATGGAAAAGATGATGGTTGAAATTGTATTTCAATCTGATCTCTGTCTCTGATTGCCCATGGATCGGGGCTGCTTGATTTAGCGAGTGAGTGAGCACTCTAGACCGCTGCGATGTGTACGGACGTTCTACGGGTGACGATACGCATGTCAAACTCTGACGTTCTGGATAAAACTCATCTCGCACGCACTACGCCCTCTGGCTGCCATGAGTCTATCATACTGATATTGAATTTTTTTATACATTTTCTTTTTTTCGATTTATATATGTTTCATAGATTTTAAATGTGATAGTTTGTTTCAGAAGACTATAGAGGAGCGTCGTAAGGAGCGTAAAGAGAAGGGACTTGACGCATTAAGATTCGCAGACAGAAGGTGGACCGATTTGCTATAAGCATAATAGCTATTTTTTTGTCGTAATACATCCCTTTAGACGTTCGCCTCCACGTCGTGATCGTGAAGATAGGGATCGGCGTGATCGAGATCGTGAGGAAAGGGAATCGCGTCATGGAAGTGGAAGCAGCCGAAAGAGAAGGTGGGATATGTTGCAGCGTTCTCCTTTGTTGCGAAAGTAAACTGTTATCCGCGCTTCTTTCAAAGCCGATTCCCGCGATCATGTGTTACGGGTCGCAGGTGCTCAATCATGATTGGTAGTCCATAAATAACTCCTCAGTTGAGAAAGAAGCGAAAAAAGCTGGGGAACACTCTCAACAGAGACCCTTTTGGCAGTGAGTGTCGGACGTTGATCAGTCTTAACCAGTTATAGTGTAGTTCTCTGCGGACGGTTGGGCGTGTCAGTGCGGCTGCGTTTGGCGCGGTGCCAAACCCGTTCTCCACCAGTTTTTAAAGCGAGCAAATGATATGACTGTATCATATCGATCGTATTACTCGTTTTCTACCACTTTTTGTCGCATGCGCGCTTCAACAAGAAGGCAGAGAACGGCCTTGACGCTGTGCACACTCATACTGGCTGACACGCCCAACCGTCCGCAGCGAAGAAGTAATATTTTTTTGAGAAGATATAGGTAGAAAATGGACAGTTGTTGATTCTTCATTTGTCCGTCGAGATGAAAAATGTGCTTTTTTATGAGCGGACAGCTATAAATAGTTATTTTCTATTATTTATTTAGCCGCTCTCGTTCAAACGACCGCGACCGTCGGCGTGATCGAGACCGAGACCGAGACGACCGTCGTAGTGGTTCTGGACGAAGCAAAGGAGATCGAGATCGAGATAGAGATAGGTGAAGTGTTGTCTTTTCCAATATTCTAAATTGTCAGTGATGCCCAGCGCTAATAATTCCATACTATTAGGTTGCGGAAAAAGTTCTCTCATACTTTCATGAGCTCAAAATAATTGCCTATTGACTGAAGACGGGTGACCGGTAATGTGAACAGTTATACATCAAGGAATAGTATCTCTACTAGTACCAATTGCTTCACTCCTGCTTCTTCCTTTGGAATATGGACCAGAATATTATTCGCTACCATCAGCACCGAGTCTCCAAGGGCTTCATTAAACATATTCTTCTACCATCCTGATGCCACCATGACAGCTGCCGATGCCAAAAATGGAGCTGCATAAGGGCAGCTGTCATGGTGGCGTCAGGATGGTAGAAGAATATGTTTAATGAAGTCCTTGATTCGGTGCTGAAGGTAGCGAATAATATTCTGGTCCACATTCCAAAGGGCGATGCTCTCAATAATCTGACACCCTTCCACAACGATAATGCTTCAGAGCCAGAGACTACAGTTTTGATGACGATATGAGGTTTGGGTGTACATGTGAAGTCAACTCCATTAGCGGGCCGTGAAAGTGCTGCATGAAGGAGCTGTTTCTCCGGCGATTCCCTACGCAAAGCAATTGGGAGATTTAAAGATCGTCATCAGAGGAAAAAATTTGTCCCCGCACTGTCTGCCTTCATGACAGTGCAGCCCACCCCGTCCAAAAAAGGTCGTGCCGAACCTCCTGCGATGGAGCTGGGTGGCTTTCTCTGCCCGATGTAGCCCAGACATGCTCCTTCTGGCAGCTAGTTGCCTTCCGTAATTACCCGTTATATGGACGAGGGAACCTTCGCATCCCGAGTCTAAGTCTAAATCGAGATGATGTTCAACTTTGCGTCGCGCCAGTCTACTTTGTGAAGCGATGGCATCCATTAGGCACTCGAAAACCGGCAAGAGCTCCGCAACAGCAATTCTGTATAATTTCGCTCTTGTACGACTCTCTATAAAAAGAGAGCCTGTTTGAAAAATATGACAGAACTTTCCTGCCAACCTAATATTTATAGTTTGTAACATTTTAATTTGTTGGGGGCGGCGAGCGCAACGCGACGAGCTCGCGTCCAGCCCAGGGCACGCCATCGCGTTGTGATCATTTCCTGAAAAATACTACCCCCCCCCCCCAAATTCTATCCTCAAATACCCCCCCCCCTCCCTATGCTACCTACCACTTTCCTTTTTCCCAGAAAAAGTTTTTCAGTCAAGTATTTCCCGTCAGGGGGGGTATATACCCAATGTGGAACTGGAAAATTTCTTAGATTTTCCCAGGTTTTTCCGAAATTTTGCCGAAAAATTTCTGGTTTTCCCCAAAATTTTGTTGGTGTCGAGGGGGAGGAGAGGTCGTCAGGATTTAATTATCATTTTCAACTATCGGAAATAGTAGTTGCGCAGATCCTCGGCAGTCTCTCTCTCCCGACAGCGACTAAATACTACCCCTCCCTCCCTCATGGTCAACGACCCCACCTCTCGCCCCCTACCCCCGTTGTGATCATCACAACGATGGCGTGCCCTGGTCCAGCCGCCTTGCTCTACCCATGGTGATCGAGCAATGATCGATGTAGGAAGGAATCAGCCACTGGTGGGAAGGCCGCAGGTGGGAACCGCTGATTGCGACCCGACAGGTCGTGGTGATATAAACTGTATGTATGCTTTGAGAAACACTACCAGCGCCTTCATTCGGTTACAGAATTCTAGAGGTACCGTTTGAACAGTAGTGAGGGTCATGCTCCATTATCAGCGATGAGAATTCGCAGCGGTAGGGCTGACCCCTTTCTTATCACAGTGGCCTGTCGCTACACAGTTGTTGTATTCTGAACTCTTCAGGCGAGATCGACGCTACTAACGAATGTGGCCGGTGGAATGTTCTCCGTGACACTTTGTTACTAAAGTAATGGTTGCTCGTGATACTCTGCTCTATTAATTATTAAACTTTTCTTGTCTCTATAGTATTTTCTGAATTACTGGGTTCAAATTTTGTTGCGAAGGTTTTCCAAATCTACGTTCCAAATGTGTTTTTTATAGTTATCATCGCATCTCTTTGTTGGATTGTAGAATCACAATGGTCAGTCAGTAGCTTCTCTCAAAGTTTTCTTTGCTGTGTTGTCAATAAAAACTTCAAATCCCACTAGTCGCAATCAGCACATTCGTTTGAGAACGTATACTTTTTTCGCAATCACTAATCGTTCAGGTGGTTCATAATACACATTTTTTTCTCGATTCCTTAGATCATACCTGCGGGACGGTCTATGGGTACACTTTCCTTACTTCTTTTTTAATGTGGAGGATTACACATGACCGAACTCTGTAGGCTTCTGTTTGTGCAACTCCAGCCTCTTGAACAGTAGTGTGAAGCTCAGTGTCAGGGAGATATTTTCATTTTAGTAGGGTCCTTGGTGTCATACGTTAGATCACACGGTTGTTCTCTTGATCGAGCGGGAAAATTTCTAGGATCTAGCGGGTGATGGAATGGGAATATTTTCGCTATTACCGAGTTTTCTCGTCCGTTCATTATCTCTTCTGCTCTTCATCGGTGAAATAAAAGATATCAATGAAGAAGTTATGTGGGACCAATGCATTGGATGTTTGTTGAAGGGTTGTTTTTGCTTTCTGATTTAGGAATGCAGACCTAATGCTGTTTTTGTTGCCTCACTTAAATAGCTTACCCAGTTTACCTTGTTGTGTTTGGAATAGTGACTCATGTCTTTGCCAATCATAGAATCGATCTAGCTTTTTTGTGAAGTGATCCGGGGTCAGTAGCTTGCCCTACGAAAAGTATTTTGAGTGGACGACAGTCCTTTGGATTGAGATCTAGCTTCTGTGTTCAGCACAGCATATATTCATTGCGATCTACCGTAAAGCTTCCAAATGTTTGATGCCATTCCAGCGTTTTTCCATATCGATAGCAAGGAGGCGGAGGTGGTGTTGTGGCAAGTGGTACGCTTATCTTATTACACGGGGTCATCCATCTCCCGGACAGGCTTCCGCATAGACCAAGCGAGCTTTCTACACGGCAGGGACTGTAAACTGATACCAGATTCGTCTGAGTAATAAGGACACTAGCTCGTACATCGGCTGGACTCCGCATCTCGTTGTTTACGCCACCGCCAATTGACAAGCTCCTGGTATTGTGAATGAAGGCAGAATGCGTGCCTGCAAAAAGGATTCATCAACGGCGGAGGTCATCCATTATAACAAGATCGCCAATGTCGAAGCAATTTCTCTCATTTTCTTGTGTTTACTGTTCCTGCTATGGCGTATTTCTTTTCGGTGTGTGAAATGTATCCTGTCAAAAAAGGCTCCTACTACTCTGAGTTTGGTCGAAGATTCAACCAAGGAGCTTCGTAGCACGACCCGTTTGTCTTTTTTTTGTGAAAGGTAGCTCTATTTCGGGAAGGATTCATGACAGCAACAGCGTTACGTTGCTATGTGGCGGACTCCTTGCGCTTCTTATGCATTTCTATAAGCAGTACAGTCTTACGCCGCTTGTATTTCACCAGTTTCGAACTGTCCGTACCTATTCGACACCTAAATATATTCCATCATCCAAGTCACAAAATATGTTGTTTATTTTCTCAAAGCAAACGCGAAAGGTAGGAAGTAGTAGTCAGCGGCGAGTAATCATGGGTGTCCTGCGCAGGTGCTGGCAGCTGGATTGAGTAAAAAGTCAATCGCGTGACTGCTTCCTGTGGAACCACACCACTACCGGTGTGGCCTATTCCCTCTTGTCGCAAGTGGGAGGCAGCGTTCGCTCAGAGTGCCTTGTGCTGGATTCTCAGGGTTCCTACATTTAACACAGCTAAAGTTTCGGTAGCATTACATTTTCCGAGACGTGTGAGAATCTTTTCCTTAAATTTCTTTTCTTATTACAGTAATGAGGAAACCTAAGAGAAAGGGATCTATGAAAATCGAAGGGCAGTTCAGAAATCAAAAGGGAAATCAGACTGCTCAGGAGGCACCGTGAATTCAAAGAAAATGCAGTGAGACTTGCATGTAAGTATTAAAGACCGCTTAAATGGGTTGCAATGCTTTGAGGAACTTAAACATCTGATGTGGGTGTATAACTTTCAAGGACCCCTTCCCCCTCAGATTTATGGTGTAATCTTTTATTATGCCAAGACCAATGGAGAGTACATCATACAGTTCCGAAATTGTGAGGTTCCATTACTCATGTGGAGATATACTCCTCATCCTGATCGGTTTTTAGGCCAAGAATCCATCATTCTTTTCGGCCTACTTTGCCTTCAAATGTACGGGTCTCGCCTACACGAACCTTATTTTTTGATGAGATGACCAATTTGGGCGCCAGTTTTTTGCACCCTATCCTCACGTTGAGTACACTTCTGAGCATTCCTAATGGCGAGTTCGTAGTGAATCGTGAGGGAAAAGAAGCTGTAAAACTTACCTGGCTCTGTAAGTAAAAGCTAAATTCGTGATATGATGATCACTAGCCACGTTGGTAGGATATCAACATGTTTTTTCCTACATTTTGGTGTTGTAATAGAAGAGTGGTGAAAAAAGGGTGTAGTGAGTCACGACAAACGGTTTTCGAATGACGGACCGGTTTGTAGAAGAATGGTGTGACTTGCATTAGTAATCAAATGTTCCTTGTTGATGTGTTCATTTTTCGAATCCTTCGTTATTTCTTGGAAATCAATACCAGAATGCTTCGATGATGCAAAATTTTGAAGATTCAGAATTTATAATTCAAGTGTTTATCGTGGCAACAGCTATGGAACACAAGGGTGCAGCATTGGGATTGGTTAAAAGGGCGGTGTTATGGTCAGTACGCCCCCTCGTCCCCCACCCCCCGCCCCCCTCTGCCATCTACTTCCAAAACAAGGTCTCAATATTACCCTTCCGAGCATTGGAGTATGGTGCTGTCCCGGAGTCTCATTACTTATCTGAATGTGTAACAATGTGAAACTCCAAAAGTTTATTCCAAAAAACTCAAAAGACAGCAAAAGTCTCAAAAGTTTTTCAAAATATCTTATCTTGCAATATTTCGGTGCGTAGCGCCTTCTTCAGGCCCAAATATCCCGGCAAATTCAGATATTCAGTAGATAATAACAAGGTAATTCAGAATTTGCCGGGATATTTGGGCCTGAAGAAGGTGCTACGCACCGAAATATCGCAAGATAAGATATTTTAAAAAACTTTTGAGACTTTTGCTGTCTTTTGAGTTTTTTGGAATAAACTTTTGGAGTTTCACATTGTTATTACACCTTCCAGCATTGTTGAACTCGAAATTCGTGCCTGATGCTACTACTGCTGTGCATCAGGATAGGTTATTTCAAGTATATTGTTTGGGCATTTGTAACTCCTAGGTTGGGGAGTATTTTCGAAGCAGAAAACAGTTTCATAAAGTACTGGGTACACTGCATTGTGATTGTATAGACGTTTTTTTTTAGAATTTTCTCCAGTTCGACCAATATGTTTGGTAGGATAATTGAATAGTACATACTTCAAACGACCTTCAATTCTTCATGAGGCAAATGCTTGCGAAATCAAAACAGAATTGGAAGATAGGATACCTTTTCCCACCTCCCCCCCCTCCCCAAAAAAACGTGCTGCACTCTATCTTAGGACCGAGTTCATCAAGAGACATTTCACATGGGTTTTTGATGAAACATGTTCTGAGCCACTCATGAGCTCGTTTCCTCATTTGACGTTGCATCAAAAGTCATTTGAGAACCTGAGTGTGCCCTCAGGATGGATCTATCCGTGGATTGAATGACCATGAATTACTTATCATCTTTTCATGCAATCTATGTGAGCGGCAGGCATCTAATTCTCACGCGAGGTGGTTGAAAGGCTTGATTCTCACGTAAGGCTTGCGCGTGCAAGCTGATGTGATGCAGTGGTTCGGAAGGAATCATGGCTCCAGTTTCTTCATTTGCAGTACTCACTTAACCTGCTTGCTACTCTACTGTATCCAAGCGACAGTTATCAAGCCCACGACTGCCCAGAAGTGCTAGCCTCTCATACCTTGCCCCGCGCAGCACATCCAAGTATATACAGTCGGTAACATCGCAGTCAGTCGTGGCGATTCCCGGTGTGACTCACCTGTGGCCTTGCTCCCATTGGTTGTTTTCCTCCTAAATCGATCTCTAGCCGGTCACCATTGGTAGAGCAAGGCAGCTGAACTCACCTGCCTTGCTTCCCATGGTGGTTTTCCCCTAAATCCTTTCTAGCCGCTCACCAATGGCTAGGAGCAACGCAGGAACGAATCATCACCTTCCTCACACAGATTTTCCTATCTGGTTACAAATCTGCTCCGCCCCTCGTAGCAAATTGTAAACCCACCTCTCGATTAGCCTCTACGACCTCAACTCACACTACGCACCTGACATTTGTGCCCCGGTATGAAGCGCCTGGCCGAACAAAATCCACTGCACTCCTAGGAATCCATCGCTGTTGATTTGACATACAGTTGCTACAAAATATGAACACCTCACAATTTTTGATATAAACCTTTATTTTGATTTCCTCATAAGCGAACAAGGAATACACTACTTATCTAAACACTAGACTAAAGAACAATTATTCTTTCTTTCTGAACAAAGTTTTTTTATAGAAACACATTGACGCTTAAAGGCAATTCCCCGACCACAGTTCATATAAACAGTTCAAAAATTAAATCTTTTGTTATTACTGCAAAAAGAACACGAAAAGCGCCGAATACAGACCCTTTTATTCAATGATCATGAATCACCTCACGACACCGTAAGTGGTACGTTGAGCTCCACATACTGTGCGCACTGTACAGGGGGGACAAAAAGTCACTTCGACCGAGCACATACTCGCCAAATGTCCGCACCAATCCAAGGAGCGCATACGATACCACGCAATAACCCAAAATGTGCCACAAGCAGGACTGGCTCTCCAAAACCTTCATGTACACCAAAATATGAATCATCTCCATCACACCCTTACCTGGAAAAACTTGGAATTCATTCAACCTCCCAACGCTGCAAACTTCTAGTATGGATCACCCGAATGGATAGCACCTGGGAACAGTACACCTCGACGGATGACCTCCAAGATCGAGCAGCCTCGACAACGTCGCCAACTCTATCACTATCATCTTCACCACATCCCAAGCCATTGATGTATGACTGGACTACCCTGAATGAAAGACCCAATATCTCTCTCATGACCCTGGTGAAGGCAGCCTGCCGTCACATCGCTGAAAATATCCCCTCAACATGTCGTTCACCTACCTTCTTTAACTTTTACCGCTCAGCATTAGTCTCACACATAAATCGAATGCTTGAGAAACAACCTCCACTTAAATGGAGCTGATATTAAGGAAACGAATATCCAAGTCACGTTACCAATCCCTCATTACCCGCCCGTGCCAGTGGACTTCAATAGGTCTACTGCTTAGAACCTCGACATCTCGCTATCTCAGCACCACGTCGTCGCGTGGCAGAATCTCTCGATGGCGCCCTGCCAGACTTGGCGAGTTCATGTAGTATTTATATGCAATGTGTAAAAATGTATTCCGATCAATCTAATGAAGTAATTTAGCGCCTCGAAAGACAATGAGAAGACTTTTGCCCCCCCCCCTGTTAAGTGCTACGATCATTCCGCAATGGGCAAACGTCACCTATCATCATTCCACTCAGCTTCAGAAACTTATCCTATTCGGGAAAAGCGATCTTCAGTGCATCTCCATCACTCTATGTCTTTCTTCCTTCTTTGTCGGACCTTCTGTAGCTAAAGAGAAACCAAGGAATCGAGGAGCTATGTTGGAAGGCCATACCCCTCACCATATACTTCTCCAACCCCTTCGCTCGGCATTTGCACTTCTACACGCTTTTCCGCCAGCGCACACGACATATATTGAGACGCTCGTTACCAACCCGTTCAATATCTTGCTAAAATCCGGCCGAAGTCATATTACGCCCTTCGTATTACGCGCACGCAACAGCGGACCCCTACTTTCCTCGTTTCCTTGATATGACGAAGTTATTCATAAGGTAACACCTAGTCTAGAAGCTTTGGAAAAGTCACCAGAGCACTTTCAGATGGAGGTGCGGCGGCGAACGACCACGGCATCGGCGAATGGAACCCAGACACAGCCATACCACGAGCTCTTAGACGACAAAACGCGCCGCACATCTGTATGTTTTGATTTTTTTTCGTACTCACTGTTTTGTCGAAATGCTGCATTTTTTTTTGTTTCATCTGCGATGATACATGCTCGGAGAATATTGCAAAAATTTTGCCATTGGCCAGAGTTAGAATGTGAAAATAAGCCATAACTGCTGTGAAAATGTTGGTAACTTGTGCTGTGCGAGCATGCCGTTGCATCTGTCAATCAGGTTCTGGGATGTAACATCCTGTGAAGCTAGGAAGTTTCTTCAGAAATCTTTGGAGTTCTCAGAAACCCGTATGTCCAAGTTCACAATTTTGTTTCAGGAGGCCATTGGATTCAAACATTGGATGTTTGTGATCGCATTGGTCGGCATCATTTATGGAGGCGTTGTTTATCTTCATAGGTTATTTATTTACTTATTTATTTATTTATTTATGCGTACAATGACGCGCCAGGTCAGTACAACGGTCCGTGCGGGAGATCAGTAACAGAACTCAGTGATTCTAGAGTCAAAAAGGAAATGACAGGAAACAAAAAATTTAAGGGAACAACAAAAAAGAGTTAAAAAAGTATTGATATGACGAGGTTACTTCATTATGTGTGGACAACAATTTGACTCACGCACACTAGTGCGTACATCAGGTGGAGAACCGCGTAGAACTTGTCCTTGAGAGGATGTTTGTCCTGAACACTTGACCTTCCATTCTAGATGTACTACATTTCCCCACCCCCCACCCCATATTTCCCGTGACAGTTATCAAATAATCCACGTACCGATACCGATTATTGCGAATAAACACCAAACAAATATGCAGTAGCCGACACTCAACCACTTGAAGAAAGCTGTCAATCACTGGACTAGTTTAACTCAGCAGGGAGGAAGCCACATTGTACCCAACGCAAGCACTTCGTCAATCGTGGCCGACAGTACACCTCTCTCTAGAACTACAAAGTAAACTTCTGATCTGCGCTGGCGGCCGTCCACTTAGGAAACGACGCTGCATGGAGGTCTTGTCACTGTATTGCCGATACGTTTGAACTGCAAGATCTTTCAGTTCAGTTCTGAGTCCAGTCGTCACCTATGGGCGAGGGCAAGTGAGGTACGAAAACAGGGATCCTCGGTGATATGAGAACGAGAATGCTGCGGTAGAGCTTTGACATAAACAAGTTCGACCGCATTTTAAACGAAGCTTTCTGGCTCGACCGTACTTGTAAATGAAACCGTGTGAAACAAGTTGGATGCCTACGCTAACAGGGTACAGCATCGTGTTGTGTGAAATGAAAGTGAAAGTACGACCCAGCTCCGAGAGAGGGTATTAGTGCGACTCCACCAACTAAATGAGAGGGTTCTCGGTGCGACCCCACCCCCCTTCCCCCAACAGCCACCATACCAATTTCCTACACTTTTCCCAGGATCATGTCCTGTTCACTCAAAAAATTTTCCGTTGAATCGAGGGCGGCGGACGGGGTACATAGCCAATATGAAACGGGAAAATTTCTTAAATTATCCCCAACTTCCTATCACTTTTTCCGAAGTTTACGGAGATTTCCCCTACTTTTCTCCAAATTTTGCTGTCGACGACGGTAACGGGATGGCTAGGGGGGTCAGTAATGGTACACAGATGAAACTGGAAAAATCACGCGAAAGGATTAGAGCGAGAACGAAAGATTTTTGCAACGCAGCAATTTATCTCAAACCACATACGCAGGACATACGACCCCCTCTCCCCCAACGACCAAATACGACCCCCTCCCCAGCGGAAAAGTACGACCCCCTACGTGTTTCACACAACGATGCTCTACCCTGCCAACCAACTGCCAAGCTCCCTAGCGGCATCTCCCCTCCGCTATGGTCATTTTCAACGAAGATGATTTCAACCCCGCCAATAAGATCATCTTCGTTGATAAATGTTCAATGTCCTAGAATTTGATGGAAAGACAAACTAAAGATGGACATGATTGCTGCTGGTTTATCCGCAGTCGATGTTCGGAACGGGAATCATTAGAAAGCTTTATTCAGAGGAGCATGTCCGATAACAGTCTAACAAAAGACTGAGAGAAGTAGATAGCTTTCATTCTGTGTAGCACTCCTAGGTACTCTGCCTAGAAATTCCTGTTGCAAGTTTTTGTTTCGGTTTCCTAATGGATAAGGTTTCAGACGGATGCCGCCAGTGGTTCCAAGCAACCATCACACCGAATTCAGTGAAGAACGAGCTCGTGTATTACTCAGGGAACTCACCGCTTTAGGACCGCGGCCTAGTGGGTCTGATGCATTGGAGGTGATTGATTTTTATCCTTCATTTTTCTAGTCACTATTTTGAACATTGGCATTATTCTGGAAAAATTGGCGGAATTTAGCACAAAGCGTTCGATATAATGCAACGTCATATTGGCGTAATTGAACGACAGGTTGCATCTAAAGGTGTAAATCGGATCGAGATGGACGTCCAGGTTAGTTCTAGCTTCCTTCATTAGTTTGGGTTACCTTTTTTTCCTGCCGTGCCAATGATGGATTTGAATTTTCAGCGTCCGTCCGGCTGTTTCGATCTCAAATTTCTGTCGAGCTTCACTCTTTGTTATGAAAAAATCACAAACATTGTGGTGCGCATTGGTCCAACGAGTGGTCCGACGAATCAAGCATTAATGCTCAACTGTCATTATGATACTATGCCGGATACACCTGGTGCTACTGACGATGCAGTAAGTGAACAATCGATTGATATATTTCCGCACTAACTTTAGAATCGATCAGGACCTTGGGCCATAGTTGATTACTTATTGAATTATTTTCACGCTCAAGGCAAACCACGCGATTGTGTATTATGGGTAGTTGCTCAGTTAGCCCATAGCTGCTAAATCCACTCTCCAGGGAAAAAAAAAAAAACACCACAGAGAACTCCTAAAGTGAGGACATGGTAGCTTTCCTAGATCATTTCACCGATCTGTTCGTTTTGCGCCAGCAAAGCGATGTCCTGCAGCCTCAGGCTCATTAATCGTTTCTTAGTGTCATCTAATGCTAACTACTGACTGTGAAAAAAAATTGGAAATAGTTATCTTAAAGGTGATCTTCTGACAGAAAATTTCCTTTAGGTTTCGGTAGGCGGGACAACCAAAAAAGGATCAGAATCCACTTAGGAGGGCCGCAGTGCCTCCGTTACTCCCTGTGAAGCCGCGAAGGTGGGACAGTTTTGAAGACTGATGATGGACTACCCGTACAAGGAACGGGACGCCTAAGAATCACTTGAGCGCGGAGACTCTTTAATATGAATATTTGTTTGTTTATTCATTCATCATGCACGCATTTATGCGCATAGGTAATAAATAAATTACCTATTCGCATAAATAATAAATAAGCTATCATTTTTGAACACAGCTCGGCCTCGAAGGTCACTGGCACATTCCCCGGTTAGAATCCTTGTGAGAAGTGGAGTATGTTCGTTAGACCTCAATCCTTGGTACCTTATTGGCAACTAATATGAGCACTACTGTAACTCGGGGTATAAGCAAGAACATTTGCAGTATTGACTTCAATCGGGTTAGCTCGGGGAGATCTTGAACAAACTGCAATCGCTAGCTTATTCGGCAAAGGGCTGGAGAATTCGCGGAATCTCTCTATGAACGTGCTCTCCCGTGTTCTGTCAAATT